GATTATTGATATGTTGTGTTGTGGTGACGAGCGATCCTAAACCCAAGAGCCGATGGAGCCCGCGTCCTTGGACTTGCTCGGCGCAGCACGGGGGAGTGGGCGGCCCTCGACTTCCCAGAGAAGAGGAGGCATTGACACTGGCATTCACTGTGATAGAGGCATCAGGGGTGGTAGGGGAAGAGGGGAAGAGGGGAAGATGTGACTTGGAGACTCATCTTGGCCCCGGGGCTAGGGTTGATGGGCTTCGACACTTTTTTAGCGTCGTCGGAGGCGTTGCGCGCATCACCGGCCGGCCGCGGCCAATCCGAGCTGGCTCCGCGCTAGATGCTAGGAGAGGGCTTCTGGCATCTTTGGGGGTTTGGGTTCAGAAACTTTGCAGGTTTGGGAGAAAAGGGTTCAGGTTCATGTGTTCAGGCATGGGTTTAGGGTTCAAGAGGCTACAGCAGCACGCAACCCCTCTCCACAACACCCGGAACAGTTCACCGTCAACCCGGCACCAATGCTCCATCCACTCTTGTCCAGGAGGTCTCTCGTCGCAGGGGCAGCTGGGATCGTGATCAAAAGGCCGGTTGGCCGCAGCCCGTCGCTATCGTACAGTATTTCCTTTTTTTTGGAGCTTCTCATGTCCAACACCTACCGACCCGAACCGACAGGTAGACAGACGGATTTGCACGACTGAGTACGCATGTTTGCACTCGGATGTGCCTTGAGTTCGTCCGTTCTTCCAGAGATAAGCGAGAGGACCATGGAAAAGGCTGAGATGCACAGATGTTTCTCCCAAGCTAACTCCCAGGTGTTATCATGTGTTATCACTCTGAATAATTCCATGCAGCTCGGCCAGGGCAGTCCGACTTCGTGGTCGCATTGGGTGCAAGCAGGCGCAGGCTCCGACGACTGGGACGCTGAAGACAAAGATGCTTATGGTGGTGATGACGATGACGACGATGACGCTGACGATGACGATGATGATGAGGGCGACGATAACCATGACCATCACGACCGTTATAATTACAACCCATGAAGTCATTGACCGCTACTACTTGGAATGTCTCCGATAATAGTAAAAGTCGTATGCAGAACACGCAGGCCAGTTGCAGTGGTTGTAATCCATTAAAGTATTCTGGGCAGGGAATGTTGTGAGAGTCCACGGCAAGCTGTTTCTCAAAGAGACAAGGCTCTTGGTTCATATGGTAGACACTTAGTGATCACGAATCGCCATGCTTTATCCCCGATTTTGCGCTGCAGACCCGAAAATCATTGCAGCAAATGGCTAGTATCCGGTTTTCCGGGCCCGATTATGCAAGTTGTCGCTAGGCCAAACTGCTGCAGAGGCATGCAGTGCTGGGGCCGTAAAAGAATTTCAATTGGGTCCTGCGGTATAATGCATTCACCCGACATGTTAACAAGGAGCCCTAGGGCACTCTTCCAATTATTGAGGTCCCTCGCTACTGTATTCTTCCCCAGTCCGGCAGGCAGCTGACTCGAAAGTGGACTTGCTCCAGGCGTGGTGGGGATGATCGTCAGGGATTCAGTTGTCCCCTAGCTGGGGACAGAGGGCCATGAACAAGTGCATTGAAGTTTTTGGCGCAAGACAGCTTTGCGGCTGGCAAGCACAGCACGAAAAATTCCGAATAGTCTCACGGCCGGAAGGCCTAGTCCTGCCGAGCTTTTGGGTTAGTGTACGTGCAGACAGACCCCCACAGTAATTCAATTCAGCGACGCGAAATGCTGATAGCACTGGTCTAGTGGGAGTGCTTATTCCACACACCTTAATGGGGCAACAAGGCATCTGGAAACCGACCATACAGGTCAAGAAATTTGGGCCTTTACACCGACTGGCCTTTCAGAAGTTGATGTTTCAGTCTTCAAATCGTCCTTAACCGGATGCCTCGCGGATTTCGAGGCAGCAGCTTGGCACTCCCTGCCTTCATTTATGCTGTCTTCAAGTGTTCTGCAGTGTTCCGCTGCTGCGCAAGGAGCGATGGCAGCTTGGCCGCTGGCGCCTACGAGGTAGATATTTGCCATGACATTCGGTTGGTCTGGGCGTGGCTGTCCAGCCACCTCGTTTCTTCCACGGACCAGAAGTGTTCGGCTAACTGACCTGCCGGTTTTGAGCCTGCTAAACTGGGCCCCTCAATACAGCATCCTCGCGTTGAAGCATTCACAGATCGCGAGAGGTCGCACGGTGCTGGCGCCTATGGAGCAGGTCACTGCGTCCCAGTTGCATGTGAGACTCCCTGGAGTGCGTGAGACTACCCGAGTGCCCACCCCAGAAACTACCATGCCTGAGAGTGCCAAACCTACCTTGAGACTCCCTAGACCAACCCCAGAGACTACCGTGAGACT